GAAAATTGATGATCAGGTTGTCCAACATTACATTTATAATTTAATTCTTAAAATATAATCAAATTTGGATATATCTCCAACGCTAGAAACAATCATTAATTTGAAATATTAATAAAATTAATCATAGTCCACAAATACAAGATGTGCAATAATTTCGGAGGAGCGCGCGCGCGCGCAACCAACCGACTGACAACTATTTTTTTTTGTAAGCCGCGTCTGGCGAATTTCACTTATTAAAAATAAAATATCAAAGAAATTTTAAAATATATGCGTCTGATGATCCCGCTGGATTGTAAATTTATATTTACTGCTATTATAATATCATTATACTTATTTATACTATCGATTCAGAATAATACAAATGCGTTGCCACCCCTGAGGATTAAGATGGAATGCCTCGTTTCCATTAAAAAGGGTCTCTGATTCTCCACAACAACCATGCGAACTAGTCACCGGTCCACCTGATGGTTACAGCAACCCACGGACACCTGCCAACAACTTCGAACAAAGAAGTCTACAGGTGCGTAATGACCTCTGAGGACTGCTGTGACACGGTTTACAGTCTATAATAAAAGGGCTCCCTAGAAGATAGCACTGGATTCACAGTTTGGCGACAAAACTAGGTATGTCGGAGGTGCCCATTTTAATAGACTGCTAGGCAAAAACTACTACCACGCAGTATATGTTAATTTTACCACCACTCGTAATCACCACATTTTTTCCGCAGCTGTTCTAACGTTTGACTTATTGAAATGTCGGTATAATCGTGTTTCCAAAAAGGAGAAATACTGTCGGAGCTTAATAATCCACTGTCCAGATCTATAATGGAAACTCCATTAAAAAGAGCGTACTACCCCACAAACATTGAAGACTAATACGTCTGCCAAGCGAGGAGGGCAAATATTTTTAGTTAGTCATATGACTAAATTAAAGCGGTGATTACGTTTCCAAACAATTCCTAGTGTGGGATAACTAGTGTTATCCCACGTCGTTTAAGTGTTTCGCACACAAATCGCACAAAAATAAAAAAAATATTTTACATTACAAAAGACAAGTATAGGTATGTATGTAAGTAAATAATTGGATAGTGAAGTAAATTTTAACTAATTTTTGTAATGAAGTACTTAGGTATTTCTTATGTAGATCAAATTATTAATTAATTCTTTTTTGCTGTAAATACCTATAGCTAACAAAAAAAAATTAAATAAATTCACCTTTCATAATTTCTTTCCAAAATTCTTCGGTTTTTCTTTCAACCTTTTGTTGGTCATTTCATTTAGTATCCATCCACGCAACAGTTATAGTACCTACTTTGTGTGTAATCAGTTGTTTAATAAAATAATATAACAAACTAGCTGGTACCCGGCGCGTTACTGCCGCAGAAGAAATAATTATGAAAATAACGTTTTAAATTTGAAAGAATTATATTGTATAATTAAGAATGATAGATAACACATTCATTCAATTTGAACGATATATTACTTTCAAATAATTTTGTCAGTTAAATACGCGCACCACCTGGTGTAAGTTAATTGTACTATACCGATGACCTTCCCACAAGTGCAAGCAATAAGTTAACAAAGTTTTACAGCAGTCTGGTGAACAGTATAGTAACGCATAAAATACGAACAAATAAACATTATTCTTTATATATTATAAGATTGAATTAATATATTTTTACGTGGTAGAGCCATGCTGCAGTTATATTAGTAGTATAGTTGTAGCACGAATGGGTCGGCTCGACCGGGGAGGACCACACTCTCACAGAATACCAGCGTCAAATAGTAGCTCAATGCTGCTGTGTTTCGTATGGTGAGTGTAGAGAACCGAAGACCCTTTTTACTGGAAACGAGGCATTCCATCTTAATCCTCCCAACAAGAATGACAACGCATCTGCATTTAGATTCATAATCGAGGATAGATGTAGATGTCTATGGGCTACAGCAACCACTTACCATCAGGTGGACTGTGTGCTCGTTAGTCACCCTATCCAATAAAAACAATATATAAGCACGAACGAATATTATCAGGCGAAGGTTTATTTTTAATTACAAAAGAGAACCGTCTACAAATGTATAAAATTGTTATTGACTTTTGCGAACGAAATATCTAAAATATTATCTTTTAACCAGTAATATGGAAACAGGAATTAAAGCTCGAAATTGCAAGTGTTGCTCTATCAACAGAAAGAGCAAACTAGTTTAGAGGTCACGGAGCACGTTACGTTCAGATTCATATATCTTTTTCGTTTAAATCGTTACCTCCACACTAGGAATTTCTTCTGTATCGTGGGGTCAGTTTACATACATAAATTTCACAAGGAGCAAAATCCAGACCCGTAACAATTAGTTGTAGGCCATACAAATTCTTGTTCCGTGCGGGATTCGAACTTCATTGCTATGCTACTACTTCCGTGGCAAAATGTATGTACTTAGTAATTAATCGCAGTAGGGGTGCTGCGTCAATCAGATTTATATTATAGAAATTAGCTAAGTTGTTTCAAGGACGTGTGACAAAGAATTAGACGACTCAGTAAAAATGTGATGATAAATTCCCGCACGAAACAAACACTTGTATGGGCCGCGGCGCAGTTTTTATTTTTTGACTTATTATCAGAGATACTGCAACCGCTCTCCTTCCTGGTTTGTTTGTTTCTTTCGTCTTTACGACACCCACGGCACGATATCTCGGTGGATATTGTGCACCGCCGCTATGCGATAAATAGTAAATAGAATTCTATCCATATTTTTTGCCTTTTTTAAAAGAAACCTTACTCATAATTCAGTTATAAGTAATATATAGTTCAAATTTTGTGCGGGATTCGAATCCGCGACTCCCCAGCTTCGCGAATAAACGCTTAGCTACTGCGCTACTAAGTTTTCAAATTATAAATAATTTTAGCTATGCTGTACTCTGTGCGGCATAGAAGTTTATTTTTAATAAAAAAAACTATTTAATCAAAGATCAAATCGTGAATCGTGACCAAAAAAAAAAAAAGATTTCGGAGATATGACAAAAAGCAATCACCAATGTATTTTTCTTTGGATATTTTTTTGTTTTAAAAACGTCGTCTATCGTATCATGGTAAGCAGCGTACAAATATGAATTTCACAAAAATAAGCATTTAGACCCGGAACAATTCTTTGTAGGCCATACAAATACTTGTTCCGTGCGGGGTTCGAACCCGCGGCCCCCAGCGCAGCAACTCATTGCTAAGTCACGGCGCCAAGGAACCGGCAAAATATGGGTCCCCTCAAAACATGAGCAATTCATAGCAATCAATATTATATAATAAAATAGAAATATAATGTAATTTTAATGTTATTTTAATGTTGAATAATTTCAAATTGAAACGTTATAATTTAAAAAAAATAGTTTGGTTTTAAAATTAATAAAAGTTCAGCTTGTAAGTCTAAATATAAAGGAAAAAAGGAATGTTAAAAAAATTATGTAACATAATTAACTATTGAAAGAAATAAAAGCGACTTCAAAAACAAAAAAGACCAAAAAGTATTATTTTCACACAATAGGCGCTAAGACAGTGTATCGAACGTAAAGTCCAAACTTCAGAAACTATTACGTAAAAGTAATTATTTTTTGTTTTACAAATCGGGTTTATCTTCTTTAACGTTTAAATAATATTTCATCCGTGTGAGTGGGCTCAGGAATAACACAAGGTAAGGTAACAACATGGTGTCCGTAAGAGGCGGCAGTCAGGAACGGAAACAAGTGATGGCCAGCAGCGGCTTCCTGATAACAAGTCAAAATAAAAATGATAAAATAACCACCCACCGAGCGTGGCAACTGTGGCAAGATCCATGTGCGAGGCCTATGTTCAGCAGACTTTATACTCGTAGGCTTTCATAGATGGATGGTTGGAATGTACAACTGGAATGTCGTCTTAATTAGTTAGTTACATTCAAGACTTCATCTCTTATTTTTCTATGCTTAGGGATGAAATTTCTTTTAACTAATTTAAGAAAAGAATAATTTTTAAATTGGTCAAACCCTTACCGAGAATACGGTGAATACACATCATCGATATATATCAAGTAAGTAGTACTCATAAATCAATGACACACATAAAAAATAAACATACGCGTCGAACACGGAAGCTTCTCGTTACCAATGATGCGCAAGTAAAAAGTTTATTATATACATGTAAACGTTGTTTGCGACTACAAAAACAAAGTTACTTCTAGTGTCATATATGTCATATACACTTGGGTTTTACATGGCTAAACAAATAAGTAAGACTTATGTGGTTTTTATTCACAAACATTAAAATGTTATTACAATGGACATACATATAACTAAGCTCTGCATACATATATTATATACTCGTACATATGTAATTACTCCATGTTAATAAACATGTAAAAAATTACTTTAAATATTTTTTTCATGTGTCTTAGTACAGAATAACATTTTTAGTTGCCTGAAATAAATGATAGCTCTCTTGTACTGTCCGTGTAGGTAGGTACAAGCTTCTTACAAGTTGTTCCTTGTGTTGCACAATATCAGGATTTTTTTATAGGATAAGCGACACAAACAAGCACACAGTCCGCCTGATGGTAAGCGGATGTTGTGGCCCATTGACATCTACATTTATCCTCAGTGAAGAATCAAAACGCAGATGCGTTGTCACCTTTGAGGACCAAGATATAATGCCTCGTTTCCAGTAAAAAAGGCTCTCCGGATCTCTACAGTCACCATACGAAACAGCAGTTTTAAGCTGCTATTTTACGCTGGTATCCTGTGAGAGGGTAAATCTTCCCCGGTCGAGCCGATCCATTCTTGCTACAACCATAATGTAACTGCAGCGTGGCTCTACCATAATTCCTAATGATTAGATATAATAATGCTTATATATACAGCTTGTAGGCTACAGACGCTTATGGGCAAAAGTAGCCACTTACGAACAAATAAGACTGTTCTCTGGTTTTTTTCTCCAATGTCAAAACAGGAAATGTTAAAATATCATAAACGACAGGACTCACCATCTCATCGTAGATGGTCTGCGTGTCTGCAGTGCAATCGTACGCAGCGTCATATGTGAATAGCTTGTCCTCGCCCTTGGGGTTGTAGACCTGCACCGCGCCGCGCTCCGGCCACACCTTCACCACCTGCACAACACCATGGAATATTAGCGTCATTGCAAAATTTTGTATACATAAGAGAATGACGCCGGAGTTGCCCAGAGAAATATTTTAGGACCAGTTAATTTTCTTTAGTATACAAATGTCATTTCCACATATTTAAAAAAAATATAATACAACACGATTTATTGAGATTATTATGTATCAAAATTTAAACTAAGCGTGCAGGAAAAAATAGATTAAACCGATAAAAGTATATGAAAATATATTCTATAAATTTAAACAATCAAATACAATTTTCTTAAACATTCATAAAATTAGAATTCCATACTTAATCATAAAAAATACATACAGATTCTACATACGAAATCAAGTACAATTGTAAAGTTGTATTGCGAATGTTAGCATTTAGTTTAACGTAACCAACCACCCGTTAAATCGACCAGTTTTACGCAAGGCTATCCAGACTCCAGACCAATCGCTTGTCTTAACTTTTATAAAATTGCTTATTTATATTTTTTAATATAATTAAACATTAATCGACTTTTAAGTGAATAGACTATTATTTCTTTCTCATAAATAGACTATTATTTCTTTCTAATAAAATACCTTTAATAAATTATACTTCTGCAGTCTGACAACCCTGCTCTCAACTCGTATCGTAATAATAAGCACTTTTTTTCCTAACATCATCGCCAGTTTTTGTATGCGAACGACTCCTATAAAAAATCCTTTATCCCGAAATGATTTATTGTTAACAAAAAGCTTTTTACAAAACTACGATTTACAGTTTTCAATTTACGTTCTAGAAGCTGCCTCAAGCACGTTGTTCGTTTGTTAGAATGTTGCAAGTATTGAATTAATCTAGTTAATGATTTGGGTTAGTTATAGCGAAGACTTAACAACTAATACTTAATAACTAACTTAATCAAACCAAAGTGTTAATACAATGGCGGTGTCTGCTTGCAAGTTATAGGTGAGCATACTGAATCACCTGTAACGCGAGGTATTTGTTTAATTTATTATAACTATGTAATTAAATTCCGAGGAGTTTATTTACATCAAATTAATTTTAAAAAACAACTATTTTTACATGCTTTCAATGAAACCATCGAATATTGCTTAGCGCAAAATAATTTACTTCGATATGATCTATTTCAGCTGATGAAAAACAATTCTGCGAAAGACGTCATTGGCATCTTTCCCACAATACGTAACATAAATTTAGGCAAATTCAAATCGAATGGAGGACTTTTGTACATCTATAGATCGTATTAGGTCAAAATTCATGATTTAATGGTTTAGCCAATTATGTGAAACCTTCAGTTGGTCATTTTAATTTGCTTGTAACATATTTATAAACAGGTTAAGTTACGTGCAGTGGTCATATTGTATATTGTATAGGCACCTACTGCGAGTCACCGGCGTGATATTACGAGATGGGGCGAGTTCATTATCGCACGATCAGTGCGTTTATGAACTGCAAATAACCAAGCTGTGCGTCCGTGCATAAGAAATTTTTGCTCATAACATTATAAAGAATTGCACTTCATCCGAAGATATTGCTTATATTGTTCTAGTTAAATTGGAATCTAACAAATATTGTTTCTTAATAAGTAGTTATGTAGCATATTCTGTGCATAGTCAACTTCTTTTTTTAGAATAACGGTGACAAACGAGCTGATGCATGAGCATTTACTCTCGATTAAGATTCAATTGCAGATGCATTGTCACCTCTACTACTAAGATTAAATGCCTCGTATCCAGTAAAAAGGGTGTAATTACGAAAGATCTTGTGCGTCAATTCAAAAGTACTTAACACGAGCAAAATTTCTAGGGCAAGGGCACATAGGTTTACCACCACCGTATCGTGAGAAGCTTCTCCCTCGTGAGCAATTAACTTAAATACTAGTTCCGCAGCCCGGTTATCCTCAGCCCGTGTTAGTGCCTCGTCAGACCTGTAATGGAGCGTCTATGAATTTTTTGTCGTCCTTCGTACGCGTGGAGAGGCGCTCGTACCACTTCTGCTCGGGCCGCTTCTTCTTCACCTACACATATTAGTTGTTTACATTACAAAACATCTACAAAGTACAAAATACATACTTAAAATTCATATGTAAGTGACATAGCTTACCATTTAAATAAAGCTCTTTAAGATACATAATGTTTTTATTTTCAATATTTTTTCACAATTTCCCTATAATTGTATGTAGTAAAAGTATATGTAAGAAAATGCAAGATCTTAGTGTGGTAAGAGAGAAAGAAATACGAACCATAAAGTTGATTCGGAAAATTCTAAAGAAACTCAACAATAATTTAATATACTTACATATAAAACATACGAGTTGATGAAACAGATTTTGCAACAAAATTGTTTATTATTTATCAAATTAGTTATACTATTTCCGGAAGAATTTTGTGGTCACAGTACAAATCCACGAATGCAAAGACTTTAACATCCTTGAAATAAAGTTAACTTTTCTTTATTTTTATTGAATGACAGAATTAGTAATAATACAAATAAAACTGCACTCTTAAAAGTCTTATTGCCTTTAGTTACGGTCCATTTCAATTTGTTTTGACTGTACAGATTTAGTGTGACTGTAATTTACGTAGTTTTAATTATTTTTGGGATAAAAATTACCTATATTAAAAATGATAGGAATAGATTCAGTAAATGATTCGGAACAAACTACTTTCTCAGTGCATTAATTATGTTACATGTTTATATATATATATATATATATATATATATATATATATATATATATATATATATATATATTTATATATATATATATATATATATATATTTTAGCACAACAGGTATTATTCGGACTTTAATCCTAAAGTAAAGTAAAATGTTTATCTATGTTTGTAATAAGTTAGTTGTCTCAACTTACATTGCGAAACAAATGAAAAAAATATATAATATACCTACATGATATAATTTTTGCGTTCCTGTTAGTAGACGTAGACATTTTCTTCTTACGATCTTAAATCGTGAAACAGCAAGCAGTCATGAATCAACTTTGAGTAAGTAATGTTATTCACAAAAACACTAACTCACTACACATAAAATAATTGTCTTTCTCTTGTTTGAGCAAAAATATAGCGCGATTAAGATGCAGTAGGGATGTCATGTACCCAGCAAACATATACGGCAGCGCCACCGCACCATGTGATTACGATTTGTTTCATTCATACATATTTGTCATAGAATAAGGATGACAAACGAGCACACACCTGATAGTAAGTGTATACTGTGGCCCATAGACATCTACATTTCCACTCGATTAGGAATCAAAATGCAGATGTATTAACATCCCTGAGTACTAGAATGGAATGCATCGTTTCCAGTGCATAGAAGATCTCAGGTTCTCTATACTCATCATACGAAACACAGCACTAATAATCTGCTATTCAACACTGGTATTCCGTGAGAGCGTGGTTCTCCCCCGAAAATGAAATGTAGCTGCAGTATGGCTTTACCGCGCGTAAAACAATGCGTGACATCTTGTTCTTGTTCGAGCAAAAACATAATAACGCGAGTAATAAACATAATTACTGCGGGGATTATATACATCGAGCAAACGTACGAGTATATCCTATACCTTTAAACGAGCAATTCTTATATACAACATGTAACATAATTAACGCACTTTGAGAAAGTAGTTTGTTCAGAATCGTTTACTGAATCGATTCCTATCATTTTTAATATAGGTAATTTTTTATCCCAAAAATAATTAAAATTACGTAAATTACAGTCACACTAAATCTGCACAGTCAAAACAAACTGAAATGGACCGTAACTTAAGGCAATAAGACTTTTAAAAGTGCAGTTTTATTTGTATTATTACTAATTCTGTCTTTCAATAAAAATAAAGAAAAATGAACCTTATTTCAAGCACGTTAAAGTCTTTGCGTTCGTGGATTTGTACTGTGACCACAACATTCTTCCGGAAATAGTATAACTAATTTGATAAATAATCAGTGCATAAAAATGTTTAACTAAAAATTCAGTGTATATATTATAATATATATATATATATATATATATATATATATATATATATATATATATAATAGGGATCTCGGAAACGGCTCCAACAATTTTTATAAAATTTAGTGTCCAGGGAGTTTCGAGGGCAATAAATCGATCTAGCTAGGATTTATTTTTAGAAAATGTTCTTTTGTCCGTGTTTTCAAGCAATAAAAAAACTGTTACAATATAAGAAGGTAAATTTTGACAGGTTATCAACGATCGTAATAGCTCAGATGGGATGTTGTTCGGGCGTGATATCGGAGTTCCGTGGTTCGCGTCCCGTCTTGGGTCCAATTTTTTTCCTTTTTTTTCAAGTTCCCTCCTTTTGTGAGAAAATCTATTATTTCGAGCCCTTTTTTTTTAGTATTTTTTAAAAATACGAAAATTTTAATTAAACTAATTGTATTCATGATTTTTTATTCAAATAATCAGTTCAGTTTTTTCTATTATGTCAATAAGATCAAAAACTATTATTCATGTAATTTGTATATAAATGTAACTTAAAAAAACGGAGCAAAGCTCGGTCATCCGGGTACTTAATCCTTATATTGCAACGATACATTGGTAGCTTCGCACTAAAATAAATAGTCTTCACTACATCGGTCTCAGCCCTGAGCTGTGAAAGACAAAAGACAACAGACTAACAGCACAAACAACCCAGAAACTAGACTAAACGTCACTCCCATCGCTCTGATGTGATTAAGATATCTTTCCATTAATCTTGGGACTTTGATATGCAAATGCACGACAGACACAATGACTCACAGACTACGCTTGCACAAACAATTTTAATGCACGCCGGTTCTTTTATCCCTTGATCCGTTACAGCTGAACATAGGCCTCCCCCACAGATTGCCTCAAAAGTGAGATTTTGCCATTGTTACACCACGCTTTATTCTATTCTGATGTGTCCGATGGAAGTCCATAATCTATGCCTATGCCTCTCTCTGGGTAACAGGCGTGAGAGTTAATATATGTATTTTATATGTGGTAAGCCATGCTGCAGTTATATCAGTAGTATAGTTGTAGCACGAATGGGTCACCTCGACCGGGAAAGGAGCACGCTCTCGCAGAATACTATATATAATAGTAGCTTAATGCTGCTGTTTCGTATGGTCAGTGTTGAGAACCGGACACCCCTTTTACTGGAAACGAGGCATTCCATCTTAGTCCTCACGGGTGACAACGCATCTGCATTTTGATTCGTAATCGGGGATATATTATGTAGATGTGAATGGGCCACAGCATCCACTTACCATCAGGTGGACTGTGTGCTCGTTTGTCACCCTATACTATAAAAAAATATACTATTATTATGAATATTTTATTGATATAGAAAGTACGCGAACTTTTAATATATTCCCTGTGTAACGATACCGCTTTAGATTCACAAGTCTGGAAAAACAGTTTCAGTATTTCCCTATTTATCACAACACAGCCGTCGAGTTAACGATCAAGATACGAGAATCGAGAACAAAACGCTAATAACTGATTATATTTTACAGCCATACTCAAGGCAAACCGCTGTTGGTCACGATCGTATACTTTGAATCAATGGATGTTTGTAAACGAAAAATATAGTAGGTACATACAATGTTTCAAGGATGGTGACAAATGTTCCCTAAATACTCTTAACATAGTGCGTAGCATATATACAAGCTACAAGGACGAGGCAAACAAACGCACATTCAAATAGCTACATTGGTACTGTCTGCAGCTGTCAACCTACATGCAGGATTTCGTGATGTAGGTGATCACTAGCCGTCTGCCGTTCCTTCTTCTCCGTCATTCTATTTATCGGCCTTCGAAAATCTATAGCTTGACATGCCTACTTTTCCGTACTATGCGATTCAAATAAAAATAGAACTGATCTGGCACTAGGTATATTATAACGTCATAGCTGTCAATTCAAACCAATTAGGTAGGGTGAGCAAAACAGATATTTTTGAAATAATATTTATTTACAAAAGAACCATGAGTGAAAATGTATTAATCTGAATCTAGCATTTTAATTTCGCTCATCTCTGCATCACTGTCCGATTAGTCAACATTATCATCACTACTGCTTTCCCTTATAAAAATAGAACATGGATTTTGCAGGTATTTAGAATATTTCTCCGAGTAGTATCAATATTTTAAATTAATTTATAAAAATAATTATAAGTTCAATAGATTTTTTAATACTAAGACTCAGTTAAACAAAGCGGAAAAGAAAACGTTACTAATACACAAATTAATTTTCTTTGCGAGCCATACTTTTCAAGTGACAATTGACAGGTCGCGGTCCTTCGAAGTCATTGTCACGTTTTTATTATTCTTCAACACGCTTAGCAAGCGGTTTGACGATCGTAGTAGCAGGCATTTCGCACCTTTGACGCTGCTCCTCTTTGCCGGTCTGAGTGTTCTACATTATATTATATATCAAAAGACCAAAAACTGCTACATATACTGCAAGGCGGGAAATACAGTGCAGTAAAATCTCGATAAAGCGAACCTCGTTAAGTTGTAACCCTCAATAACTCGAAAAATGGCATTAGCCGCGTACACACCTAGCGCACGTTCTCGCGAGGCAGCCACGGTGTGCGGCTCGCGAGCGAAGTCTCGCGAGACAGCCTCAATAATTTGTCTGGAACTCAGAGGCATGCCTCGCGAGGCAGGCCGAGCCATCATAAGTCCCCGACAGTTGTATAATTGCAGCCGCAGCTACTTTTTTAGTCGCTTATTGTTAAAAAAAAAACGAAAACTGTCACGTTTTACGAAAAGACCTAGACGCGTCTGGATTAGAAAAAATTATGAGCGTCGCAACCAATATGGAAATGAATTACTTAAAGATTTAACATTTGATCAGACTGTACATTCATTGAATTAAAGGAATATTATTAAAGTGGTTTTACAGTAAAACTATAACAAACACTATTGTATCGCCTCGCGAGCCAACATACCACCGTACATACCAAACGAACAGTGATCCGAGAACCGAGGCACTTTTGAGCGCGTCTAGTT